CTCACATTTCAACTTTTTTATCAGTTCCTCAACACGCCCCTACCATTCCAATGCAGGAAGGCAGCTGAATGCTTCAAAGCTGCTGACATACCTTGGGTGATTACTGTCGTGCCTCTTTTCCAGCTGAGGCTATAAAGGGGGTCCTATATCCCAGCGATACAAAGATTTAATCCCAGAAGCATTTAAGTTTCCTGTGGTCATGAATTGGTCTTACTGATCTTTGGGAAGGGACAAAACAGAATCTCCTTGGCCACTCCTGACAGTTTGAAGAATCAGCTTATTTTACATTTCAGATACTGAGTTGGTACTGTTTGTTCCCTTAAATTTTTTTTTTTTTTTATGCTTGAGATCTCTTTCAAGGTGGCAAGGCAGGCGCTCTTATTGTTGAGCAGCTACATGCATGCACACAAAAACAGAGCACAAAATGGTGCCAGTAGAAAATGCTCAAGTGGACTTACTGACTTTCAAATCCGCAAGTAAGAATCAAGACACTTCAAGCCAAGAATTCTCATTATAGGGAAAATTCCTCTCTAACATCAAAAGAGTTAATTGTCAAAATGGGAAAGAAAAATGTACGTGAAATCAGTTACTTCTCATAGATATGCAGTTGACTTTTTTTTTCCTGTCCTATAAGGTTCTCTCTTTAGATTTTTTGTAAGAGAGGACTAAAACACAACTATTAGGTCAATGGTAAGTCTCAGGGATACGCTGCAGATACAAGTAACTCTGTACAGTGATTCCTCACATTTTCAGCTGTGATTCTTCTTACAAATTAAGTTTTGTAAAGCCCAAATATTATAATCAGTACTGATTAGAACAAAATTTCTGCTGGTAATACTCTTTGGGAACCACAAGCCACTGTCAAAAAATTATGCCTGCAAATGCTGTTCTTCCAGAAGTGTAAAACAAGACAGCTTATCCTACACTACACAAAGCACCATAACAAAAATCTCAGTGCTCTCCACTTGTCTTTCAATGTGCAGCAGACGTTCCTTACATTTTACTTATTATGGGATGAAAAAGCAACCTTAGGGATTAATACCAGCATAAAATCAGTAAGTTCTGGCATAGCATTTTCACATATTTCTGGACGAAAGCAAAACCCAACCATTTGTTGCTATGTGTACAAACAGCAAAGCAGAAAAGCTCTGATCCCCTCCTGGCTGTGTGAAAGGCAACTTATAGTCCACCATGACTTCTAGTTGGAAAGAAGGCCTGAGCAGAACACATTCTTGGCGCTGACAATGGAAGATTACTCCTTCCTCTTCTTGGTTTTGAAGATCTGCACCATTTGTTGCACTAATGCTTCTCTGACACCTCAAAGAACCAATTCAGTTTATAATTCCAGCCCTTTTTCCCCCATTAAATGAGATGGGCTGAGGTGATACAAATGCATGTTTATGGATGCAATGCGAAAGCAACACTGGAGATTGCCCTGACAAATTTGGAAGAAGAGTTCACTGATGTATACAAGCAAGTCTGGGCTAAATGATGGGGCAAGCACAGCTACACTTTGGATTGCTGTCTAGTATATTCCTCAATACAATGAGTAACTTACAGGCAGGATAGCACAGAAAAACCCAAATAGGGATTTACTTACAATGCTGATCACAGTCTACTCTAGCAAACACCACTTGATTCTTATCTGGATATTCTTCCTTAATTACATTAGAAGCTTCCTCAAAAATAGGATGCAGCATTTGGCTGAAGCGGCACCTGTGGATAGAACACAAAATCATAACTTCAAAATATTAATTTGAAATATTTTAATTGATTACTCTGAGTATTTCAATCTTTGAAGGAAAAAGAAAAAAATGAGAGAAAAGCTATTGGAAAAGCATATCTACTTGTAATCAGCCCAGTAACTGACTGGATAAAAATAGGTTCAAAAGTAAATTGTATAATTCAGGTGGAAAGAAAACCAAAACACAGCATTCCAAAAGAATATATAGTTCAAGATGTGCTCCCCTGCTTTATCTGCTTAAGAAACACCATTAATCAATTGTAAGCCTTTAGGAAATATATTCTATTCAGGAAGTTTGTTCTTTATTTTGTCTACCTGAATTATGCCTGGGGAAGTAATTTGAAAAATATAGTAAAAGAAATTACTTGGATTGTTGAGATTCAAATATTCACCATCACCTTCCAGAAATATCACAGAGATAACTTTATAAGGGTCAACAACAACTTATTGTTGTAAGTATTGCTTATTATATTATTGTTGCAGTGTTATATTATTTATTATTGTTGTAGTGTTGTACTATTGCTCAAGTTTGGTAGAATTTGAACAGACTGCTATTACAGCACTATGAACAAAGAGAATCCCTTGGGTCCCTTCTTCCGGTCATGTCAGATTTCGAAGCAAATCCTCTCTTTCTGCCCACGGAAAAGGCTGTAGGATTGTAAAGATGCTTTGGTGGCTTTGGGGAGTTTAGAGTAACTCTAGTGCACAAGCCATTATTAATATATCAATAAAATTATTTTATATTCTCTTATTTTAAATACATGGCAGAATTTAAATTGAAGACGTATAACGGCACTGTAGAAGTTGTCAGAATGAGACGTCATGGAGCAGACTTGCAATAAAGCAGCCTGCACTGAAGCCCTGCTTAAACTTCACAGTGATAACCTGGGGATGCTGTTATGTCTACAACAGCAAACGTTCAAGCGAAGAGGCAGGTTTTTCCTCTCAAAATATAAACAGGGCTTAAGGCCATTTTCTGAAAGAAACCTGACTCTGAGCAGCACAACTGTATGCTACACATTTATGCAGCATGTATATGTTACATATGGTTTCCTTGTCCCTCATTCTTCCTCACCTTTACAGCAGAGTATCTACATCAGTGAAACTAGTCTGTTCTCACTCAAAGGTCACATTACATCATAGGCTGGCAGCATGCTACGTTGAGGGGTTATTACTGAATGCCTACATGTAATGATCATAATTAAGGCTGTAATATTTTAAAATTATGCCTACTATCATGTGAATCAACTTGCAAGCATACACAAATCTTTAAATTCAAAGCAAATCTGTTCTACAGAGGATGTGGTAACAGTGGGGATTTGCAGAAAGAGCTGTGCTAATAAGGTCCTAAAACAGGACACTTGTTACTTTGCTATATCAAGTTTTAAAATATTGGTATCTTCCCTTTATCACAGAAGTATCAGAATATGGATTTTTAGCCTCCTGCAGTTTGTCTTTTGCAAAATCCCAAAGTGATTTTTTCAATGGCAACACAGACCCCAAATTTCAGTGTATTAAATTTACTCCATAGGTTTGCTTTCCTTGGTTATCTTTAATGAAACCTTTGGAAGTAGTCCATGATCCACCAGGTATCTGCAGATCACAAACTGAAAATAACCATCTCAGAAGTTTCATTTATTTACTTATTTTAAAAGACAGCCTTTGTAGCATAATTCTATACAGAACAGGTAAGAGATTAGATCTAGTTTCTTACTTAACTAGTTATTTAGTTATACTATCATCATAAAGAAAGACATTTCAAACAAATAGCTTACTTGGTAAATGAATGTCATCTCTCTAAAGAAAATCTCTATTGGTTTAAATGTGCGTAGTACTAATTTAGTACCACTTTAGCAAGTGAACAAATGCAAATTAATGGAACATAAAAATTGTCTATAAAATGACAGAGGTATATACAAAGGTTATTAAACTGATTTAGATTGGTATAATGCCTATCTTTATGCAAAGTTTAAATGAAGGCATTAAAATAATCTTTACTGAGAATGTCATTCTATATGAAAAGAGTGGGTATGAATTTTTCAAAATCACTTTTAAAAAACAATTTAAATTAGCCTGCTACTAGTTGAATGAATTACCAGTACAGGCAAAGCGTAAATTTTTCCTGTAAAGCTCTGGGTGCTTGCTATTTCTAGACCATACAAACCTACAGACTTAGACATATAGTGGGATGTGAAAGAGGTGAAAAGAACCAGAAGTCTGATCACCTACACAACCTTTGATTCTGAAGGCCAACATTTTATGCTCACAAAGCAAAACAGCAGGGAGGGGAATATTTAAAGTGTAGTACTTCAGTTTATATATTGCTTTACATTATAAAGCTATTTACAGCCAAGATTACTTTAATCAAGGAAGACAGAAAATGATTTATTTTTCTAACCTCATCTTCTATATTAATTTGCATGTTAAATTTTATTTTCTCTGAATACTTTTCTGGTTTCTTCCTCACTAAAGATTCTTTGAAAAATATTAATGGTGGAGCAGAATGGAACATCTAAAATTACTTCTTACACAATAAAAAAAGAGGTATTGTGCTTAAATTAATTCTAACAATGATTTTGTATGCAAGTTTTGTTTGTTTGCTTGTTTTTTAAAAATATAAGTTCAAGCAAACAGTTCCCTCTAAGTATGTCTTTCACAATGTATAACCAATTTGGTCCCAAATTCTTTCCTTTTCCAGTTGCTCAGATTTCATCCCTCAATTACAATTTCTCTAGCTCTCCACTTGGAGGGTCTTCCAGGTTAGAGAAGGAATTGATTTTTAGTGTAATTTCAAGTCTTTTTCTTTCTAGCACACACACACGGGACCGTAACAGAAGAAAATGGAAAAGTGGAATATTTTGGACTATCCTATGTTAAGGAGCAAAAAGTTAATGAAATCTCTCTTGCTAAGAGGGGCTAAAAAAAACCCTAAAAAAAAAAAATCAATTACATAGCATATTATTCCATACTACTATAGAAGCCTTTTTCCTCTGATAGGAGCCCTGAATGAACCAAAAGATGGCAGAATAACAGAAGGGGAAGTAATCAGGACATAAAAAACCAGGAAAGAACTAGTTTGAAAGCAAAATACCACTGTATTTTCAATTAGAAAACTAGAGTCAAACATGAGAGTTTTTAAAAGACAGAAGTTTAAAGGTAGGAAAAAAAAAAACTTGTATAACTTACCAATCGGCGTAAAAATTAACTAAAGCAACATCTGCATTGTCTGAGAGGAAAGAAAAAGAAAAAACCCAATGTCACATTGAGGCAAACTTCTTAGTGCTTTTATCTGAGATTATAAAAATATGCACAAAAACTATAAAAGCAAATATTTCTAAATTATACAGCTTTAGTCTGATTGCCAGAAAACTGCTAGGATATAGATTATATTTCAGATAAGATTTATCAAACAGGAAAGTGATGAAAGAGACCTTCAGTCAAGTATTTTATTGACTTTATTGATATATTAAACATTAAAAATGTCAATACTTAAGGTATTAAGACACAAAAGAAGTAATTGAGTGACACATGAGTCAAAAAGTAATTCTAGATTTAAAATTAAGGCACTTGAAACCAGAAGTTGTACTCTAGTATATCTTCTAATATTACCTAGATCATTCATAAGTGTTAAAGAACAGTTAAAAGATGAAGTGCCAACTGTTTGCGTTAGAAGAATGACCAACACACAGCTTGCCTGTGCAACTTGCTCTGGTCAGTCCTTACCTGCCTTATTGGCTAAGTATCTGGATAGTAAGGCAAAAGGTAGCAGAAAATCATCAGTCCTCAAAAAAGAAAAATGCTAAGGGGCACTGGAAAAAAATGCAATACTATAGGGATAATATATATGATGATGTAGTGAAATAATGCTCCTATACATTATTTTTCACATAGCAAAAAAAGAAATACCAAAACTAGAAGGCTAAATCTCTTGCCCCAAAATAGACTGTGCTCTTTACACAATACAACCACCATGCTGCAAATTGGTATTTATTAGTAGTAGTGGCCTAGACATTGAAAAAAAATTAAAATAAATACTGGAACTACAGAATATCAGCCACAGCTTTATAAAGCAAAAATGTTGCAAGACGAATTTGCACTATTGACAAAGTTACAAAGCACTAACACACAAAGAATAAGATGTTGGAAGCCTGGAAAAGACAACATGCTGGAAAAGATGATTCTTGAGAAGGCTGGGAAAAACTACACAGTTTTGATTAAAATTATGGCCTTAAGATTTTTGTTATCAGCAAGGAATGCAAGCGGTGAACAGGAAATTAACAAGCACAGAGAAATTTAGGGTTACCTCCAAGGTATAAAGTATTTATTAAAGTAACCGGATAAATTTAAAAAGCACTTACATTTGGCATGTGTTCCCTCTTATGAATAACATTTTACAAAAGGATTTTCTATTTTCCATTGTATAAAAGGTATTTACAAACAGATCTCCTATCACCCAATCATACATTTACTACACAAAGCAATCTGGCAATAGTAGGCAGATTCTAGTACAGACTTGAATAAAAGAGTATAAAGATTATTTTTTTTCAAATATATTTGAAACAATGTAATAGCCTTTTTCCTGTGAAGACAATCAGATACGGGCAAATTGCATACTTTTCAGACTAAAAGGTTTCAGACAAGGAATACACATCTGTTTAATTTATGAGTCTCCTTTCTATGAGCCATCAGAATCAGGACAAGGCTTAACCTGAGGAAAAGCATAGCTGAACAAGCAAGATACTTAACGCTCATCACCATGGGTTTCAGTTGCTGCTATTTTGGGGGGAATTTTTAAAATGCTTTCTTGACAGGTTTTGGTTATGTAATCAAGCATTCCCATCTGCAAACAAGATACCAGATACTTTTCTTAGATACTTCAAATCCTCATTAAGATTACAATGAAGTAATTTGTTAGGTAATACATTAGTTCAGACAGCTAATTTTGATCATAGGCATTTAATACTTCTATGCCGATTGCAATTCATATATTCAAAGGTAGGATATGCATATTCTTTTAAAAAAATTACAAGATTCACATAGATAAGTGACTGTAGATATACAAAGAAAAAAATAATACTCAAAGTACTCACTTAAAATGTCATCTATATTTCCACTATCTAGACTTGTTATTTCACTTCTTGTTGGATTAAAAAGCCAAGACACCTAAAAAGAGAAAGCAAACCAGTAAGGTATGCAAAGTTTCAGTAATAAAGTAAAAAGAGATCTATGATTTTAAATGTTGCACTTCAAAAGCTGGAGAAGAACAGTAAAAGAATTGTAATTCATCAACGCATTTCAGATAACAGCAGTACTACAGATACACAAACACTATTTACAGATATAACATACTTCCATATTTAAAGCAAAATTGGCTGTTTCTTCATATGATTCTCTATTATGCTGGCAGAAGTGTTACAGGTAAATTTTGTACCTTTAAGAATAACTTAATAAATAACTTAATAACTTAAGAATTCACTCTGAATAAAGAAGTGAAACCCCATTTTAGCTACCTAACAATCTCACGCAGCCCAGAAACACATAGGCATGGAAGTTTCACCCAGAGACAAGTAATTCTTTCTGTCACTTACAGGGCTTGTTTGGCTAAAAAGTTTCTCATTAAGTAAAGCTTGCCATTTTTAAAGCCTCCATTAAAGCCTCCATTTTTATTGCCGTTTTAAAAAAATCGTTTCAGTATATCTAACTCAACTAGCAACAGTCTTTTATCTCCTTGTGTATTTTTTTCTTGACACCGCTTCAGTCCCAGTATGCTATTGGCATATCAGACTATAAAAAGTGAGACACCACATCAGCCAGATCATTCAATTACAAAGCACCACGTACATGTATTACTCTTAATGCAACTATCGCAGCAATACACAGTTTTATGGAAGAGGACACTCACATTCACTGCAACAGGCCCAGTTGTTCTGTCTCAAAATGCAGCAGGGAAAAAGGGGGTAGAGTTGCTGCTCTGTCCCAGGTGACAGAGATAACAGTGAGTTACAACTTATTTTTGCTTTGAGAGAGATAAGCCTGCAAGTTTTTCAGTGGGACAATACAAATTCTGGTCTGGGACATGAACGTTTCCATCCTGAGCAACCTGGTCAGAAAGTCAGCACTTCTCTAAGGAGAGCCAGGGCTTGGACCAGACGCTCTATTGACATGCCTTCCAGGCTCACATTTTCAATGAATCTATGGTTCCTCAGCTGACAGAGATGGCAGGAAAGGAAAAGGAAGGTTTTCGGTAGAGAACCGACAGGAGCACACAGGTCAAGAAGCCAGGTAGAGACCCGAGATTCACAATGATACCTGAAGAATTAGTCCTGGCACTGAGATGTGGTGGCACATGACACACACACCATCAGCGTTCCTGGAGACTTAGTCTGCTCCTTGCAGCTCCTTGCTCCTCCTCTCCTTCTGGCTAGAGAGGCAGAGCTGATGAAAGATACCAAGGAAAAACTTAGCTGGAAGCATAAAGAGCATCCATATAATGCCACGTAGAGCAGCTGGGTACAAGGATCCAGTGATACAAGAATCTCTATATATGGAAAAGTCTGAGACCTATCCTGGACCTGTACTAGAACCATGACAACATGCAGCAAGTCTCCAGGGCATACCTGCCTTTGACAACATTTGCAATTTATCAAAAGACTAATTCAATGTCTAATATCAAGTTTTCTAACATTTGTTGCAAGTGTGTGTCAAATATTGCCCCCCCCCCCCAAAAAAAAAAAAAAAAAAGATAGCTGAACTGGATGCTTCCTTTCATTAAGATCAGCTTCAAAAATTGTGGGAGCCTTCTGCAGCGAGACACTGTCAATAGTTCTCCAAGTATCACTGTAAATGGCAGGTGAGATCTGCAACAACCATTTTCAATTCCTTCTCATTTATGGATCTCTAACTACTTTTCAGCAAAGATACCGATCCTTTCGTATTTCCCACATAGGGTAGCACGTACACTCCATCTTACACTACAGGCTGAAAACATACCAGCTGTTGTAATACAAAATGTGTATCAGTGCTTCGCACTCGGTAGTTGGTCAAGATACTAATCTTACATACAAGCCTAAGATCCGCCGTGGAGTTTGCACAGCCTTCCTGTGGCACTTAAACTGCCCAATGCAAACGTCTAAACTGTGGCTTTAAGATGACTGGAGAGAAACAAAACTAACAGTTGAGCTGTAACGTCTGTAGTCGAAACTAACAGCGTAACTACATGGTCTGCCAAAAAATACCCGATTAAGCAAGCTATGCAATGCACAAGTTGCAGCAGGTCAGCATTGGGGAAGTTCCTTTGAAAACGCTGGTGCTGCTGACTGCTGAACAGCAAGAGGAGAGGGCTCTTGCCTTCAGTCTTTGCAGAGAGAAGCTACTTACATGGGCCCTGGTCCACATCGGTCAGATTACCCCCAGAGGAATGACCGCTGATGGCAACCATCAGCGCAGATACCTCCTCATCACCCCTTGGGTGGTGCAGGGGATGACAACTTCCATGGGGTTGCTATGGGGAGGTGCTGGTAGTAGTAGTAATATTTGTAGTAATGGGTCATAGCTTTTGTTTGTAGGCACATGCTGGTTTGTTGCAAGCGTTGTATAATCGAAGTAGGAGCTATGATTAACAATAACAGTTGGAATATTGCTCTAGGCAATAAAGGACAGTATAACTCAACATTAATTTCGCTGGCTGTCATCTGATCCTACCACAGGTGGCTTTACAACCTCATCTAAGTTCCAAGGCTCCAGCTGCCCCATAAGGTCTCAAGAACCTCTCATCGTACCCTTGAAGGCCACCGAGTTATTCATCCCGCTTATAATCTTGGACAATGCTTGTTTACACAGAAGATCCACACAAGCCTCTAGAAAGCAGGAACTTCTTAGCTGCTGCATGCAGCTCTGCATCAGCATCCATGCTCGGAAAGAATTTCCGCAGTAGGTCTTGGTGAAACTATTTTTACAGGAGCTCAGCAGTTTGTATTGTCTAAACCTACCGAATGGGTAAGATACCAATTTCTTAAACCCACGTGGCTTTTTCTAATACAATTTTACAGCAGCAACACAAATCTTACCTAATAGGATAAATTGCACATAAATTAAACTTAACATAGATAAGCATATAATTTCCAATCAGGAAACAGGCTATGTTATTCAGCAGATATACTTAAATACATCAGGAACTGTAGTTGCATTGGTAGATTGCTACAACATACCTTAACTTGTAATGCAACTATTTAACTGCAAAATCAAAGCACAGGGCTTACTAACCAATAAAATCCTCTACTAGACTGAGCTATGTGCAGAAAAAGCAAATTAAAACTAATACTTCTTTATAGCATGAATAAAATTTTCGATTGCTTTCTTAACTCTTACTGTGGAAAAATGTGGTGCAAGCTGCATGTACTGAAACAAAGACCCCAAACGTCTTCACATATTGAAGGTGAAAATGAAATTAAGCTGTATATCCTATTGTCCCTTTATATTAAACAGTAGTGGAAAAATACTGAGACTAAGAACGTCTTTCCCCAAAAGCTGCACAAAATCTGAGATAATTGAAATACTTTTTCCACTAGAAGTATGAAAATTTCTATTTTGTCAAAATATATTCATAATCACGTTCTTAAACATTTTATACTGACTAAATAATTGTGGATGCCAAAACTTTCATAATAAGTAGATAAGACTCAGGGGAAAAAAAAGCATTCCTTGAAGAAGTGTCAATAAATATGCAAGACTCACTTCAGCTGAAGCTTTCATAAAGGTATAATGCCTGCAAGGAAGAAAACACATCCTTTTGACCCAGTAATCTTGCTGTCCCATGAGATGCAAGAGGATTTATGATATTACTAGTATTAATATTTAACATGAAGGAACACAAATTCTTATTTAAATTGTTAAGAAGCTGCACCGTTTTGAGAATTTTTCTGACCTTTGATGAGGCCTGTGCTTGATACCCGCAGGTGGAAAACAAGACATTTTTGAGGAAATAATTTTTGAATATCAGCTACACACTTTATAAAACAGGTATTGAACATACATTCTGAAAAACATACTGGCGAAAAAAATGTCTTCAGAATGTTTTACTTTTAAATGCAAACTCTGCATTCCACTGGCCTACATCAGAAGGACACATGGACGACTGTTCATAGTTTTAACTGGGGAAGAGAAAAAAAAGATTTCTAACTGACCTTACAAAAGGTAGCTACAAACTCACTGAAGAAAGTGTCTTGCAAAAATAATTCAAAAGGAAAATTGGTAAGTACACCTGAAAACAACTCAAGTTGCTACCTTTATATCAGATAAACTTAGCTATATTAGATTTTTTAAATGCTTAAACTACTAAAATCTGAATGTAAAATTAAGTACTTGAAAGAAAAAATATTTCAAAAAAAGAGATACAGTAGAATGTTAAAATACTAAATATTTGAGTGTGAAACTGCACAAGTTAGATAAGAGTGCTTATAATCTACTCACAATCGTTTAACATTACAGAAAAATGACAAAAATGAATGCGGAAAGCTTTATACACTTACAGAATACGTTGCTGAGGGGGAAAGTCAGGAACTGAACAATGCATTCACAAAAACAAAATTTAGCTCATACGGGGGGAGGGAAGAGGAGGAGATGGCACATGTATTTTTATTCTTCTGTTCCTCAGAAACACTGCCAAATAAAGCATGAATGTATCAGCTCAGGTTCCTGGAAGTTTCTGAAGATAACACTGCTCATGTTTTTAGCGAGAAGTTCAATTAGTACAGAAATCCTAGTATTTCTGATCCAGTTTTGATCCTCACTTGAAGTTAGAAAATTACTTAGCCACTTCTGCCAGAAGCCAATACTAGTCACTTCTGAGGAGTTAGCTGACATTTATTCTGATTTTTTCTAATGAAAGATCTCAAAGCACTGCCCAAAAGACACCATTATCCTTCTCTGAGACGCGGCGCAAGGCTACGCAAGCAGCCTTGCACAAAACAAAATGCCTGGACAAAATCCGTTTCATTCGCCCCCAAGAGCAGACCTCTGCCAGGCTTCATATCCCTTGTCCAAAGAGGAAATTAAAGCGCACCCAATTTCAACTCATCTTCTGCTGATAGTGTTGCTGTTCAATTGTCACTCCACAGATCCAATTAATGAAGTCCACTGGTTATTCAGAAGATTTAGGTCAACCT